CTTTAGGAGGGTGGCCCCTTTTTAAACCAATTTATTCAAAACTTTGAAAACTCTTTATTCTAATTCACTTTTACATTCACTTTGAATCCAAGGCCATACAAAAATACCAAATAATTACAGTCATACATTATGTCGTAATAATTTCCAGCGAGAAATTTAAGTGAGTCACTCTCATGGGATAATTTGCCATTTTTGCTGATTTGTACAAAAATGTTCTGCTTTTCAGTATTAGTGTATTGTTGACTGCTGGCCTCAAACACACCCGGATTCCTTAAGTATGAGTGTGATTTTTTGGAAAGAACACACCTCCTCAGCCGTATACTTTTGATACCAGCTGTGTGGGAGCTTTGGTGTGTAACGGCTTTGTGCATGACAGATAACTTGGAATCAACACAAAGTATCCTGAGACTTAAAACTGACTCACTGTGTTTTTTGTAAGTCCAACTACAGTAGGGTGTTCGGGTTTATTGCTCCAGAGCTACAAGAGTCTAATAGTGAGACCTCATGCAATCCCTTGAAAAAAATGTATTATGCGATAAGCTATAAGGAATAGTTCACTCAAATTCAAACAGCTATAATGTTTACAGGCTCTCTATGGTTCCTGAAAAGGATTTCTATCGAACAGCCTGTTTTTTTAACACTGAAAATGGTTGTGTTAGGATTTGTATTCAAGACACATGGATAGGAATGTTGTAATAACATGCTGACCGCTGATGTGTTTTATTTCCCAGGCACTCCACTCTCCTTTTTCTTGGACCATAGAGAGCCTAGAAAGGAAAGTACTTTATACAGATTTGTTATGGTTTTTGTCTGAACTATTACGATAACTCATAAGACTGAACTCAAGCTAATCAGAATAGTAGGTTTGCACATACAAGGAATTACCTTTGGTATATGTGGTGCATTCAAAGACAAAGAAAGAAGAATACATAGCAAACAAAATAAAATCTAAAATAGGAATGTTATAAAAGCTATTTAAAAAAAAATATGTTAAGACTATTATAACAAATTAACAATATTTACACAAAATATATAATTATGTGAAAAACTGGTTACAGTCAAATATAATAAAATATAACAAATACTATATACTGTATTTAAAGTGGAGAGCTTTGCTGATTTAAAAGAGGAAGTGTTGAGAAGAAATGTGCATGTGCAGGATTTACAATTTTAAAAATAATGTTGTTCGCATGATGTGCATTAATGTAATGCATAAAGTTATTATGGGATGGATTAAAATCAGTGACAGTGGGGGGCCAGGACTTGTTGATGAGGCCGATATCAGAGGGGAAGAAACTGTTCAGGTGGCAAGATGTCAAGGGGTGAACACTGAGGCATGAACTCAATTGCACGACTCAAAACTCAGACTCAGATAGCGTTTCAAAATAAAGACTTTACTGGAATTTTGCACAATAATAAAATAAGGAAAACAAAACACTCTTTCGAGGAAAACTAGAATCGTGATCTATAGCATAGGTCCGTGAAAGGTCCTTGAGATAAGCCGATACGTAGGTCTTCGAGAGACAAATAACTGACAATGAACAGGAGGGAGCTAACACAATATATACACAGGTAAAGGGGACACAGTTGGAAACAATCAGGGCTGGGAAAATAATCAAGGAAGCAGGAGACAGAAAGGGGCGGGGAGCGTGGAGGCCTGAAATGAGAGGGAGAAATAATTAAGGGCATAGGCATAAAGCACAAGACAAAGGGACATGACAACTCTAACATAAAGAATAAACTTTCACTATAAGTTTCTTGGACATGACACAAGAGGTTTTGGTCCTGATGGAGCGCAGCCTCCTGCCAGAGGGGAGGGGGATGAACAGTTTGTGTCCAGGGTGCGAGGGGTCTGCCACTATCTTCCCTGCCCGCCTCAGGGTCCTGGAGGCGTGCAGGTCGTGGAGGGATGTCCGATCACCCTCAGTGCAGAACGGTAGTGTCTGGCACACGGCTAACACATTGACATGCATGTTAATACCTTCGGGTAATTCAGAGTCTCGCCCTTTCATCTGCACATATTTTAAATGTAAACAAATTAGGGTCTGCTGCTATTCCATCTCTCTGGACATATACCACTACTGATTAGAAGCTAGTATGTGCTTTGTCCAGATCATTTTTTGAAAGATCGAGAAGGTCATTTAGAAACATGTGGTTATGTCTCATTGGGGATTCTGATAATACCTTCAGAACAACACAAAGTGGCTTTAAATAACCTTTAGTCCTGATTAATTATCTTGTAGAGGTACTAATGATTATCACTGTGTTGCCAATGTATGTTAATGCATAAGAGGCATATAGTACAAATGCTATGGAAGCATCACAGTGGGAAAAAAGTCTGTTGGGGAAGGGCTATTTAGCAATACCGGTTCTAATGTTAATCACAAAGATGGTTAAAATAAATAAGAGACAAATAAAAAGGGATACATCAATCATCAATGACAGACGTAATGACTTCCTCCGCCCTTGTCAGTCAGTAACAGGTCTCAATATGTCAAATCTAAGTTCATAACAGAGATTTTGACTAAAAAAGTAACCAAAATGGTACAACATGTTCTGTATATCTGTAGAACCAACATCATTTGACACTTTCTCAGCTTTTTGAGTTTGTCTTAAGCTCTTAATCCCGTTTCCGTCTGCTTGGCGTTACAGCGAACGTCTCGCGTTTCAAACCAGTATCCTAGATATCCCCCTGGGACTGATGCCAGGTCAGTTTATAGTGTCCAGTATCAGGTTAGTGTATTTATATTAGTCATGTTATAGGGGATATAAGTGTTCAGGGCATCTTCTGCTGTTTGCTGGATTTTATTTTATTTATGGTTTAATCCAAATGTAATACTTTTCACTTCCTTTTTTCAAAGCTCAACAGAAACAGAAAACAATTACATGAAGTCATTTGGAAGTCTCGAACAATTGGATTGATAGACATATGAACTGTGACAAAAGTATACAACCCCAGTCCATATTCCTGTAGTTTATAGAGTTGTCAGTCCCTGCTGTGTTTTTTTCTTCTAATGAACACACATACAGACAGTAAAACCACAGCTGTCGTCAGCGTCATCATCAAAGCTCAAATGAGGAAACCATGAAAACTTATTCTGGTCCGATCTGCTGAGAGCGGACATGTTGGGACACGTGGAGCAAGGACAGGGTGACAGTCTGCAGGACCTGGATGTGGTTTCCAGATGGATTAGAGCTCAGAGGGACTCTACAAACACACACACACACACACACGCACACACGCACACACACACACACACACACACACACACACACACACACTCTCTCTCTGTCCCACACACACACACACACACACACACACACACACACACACACACACACACACACACACACACACACACGTGGGTGCACATACCCCCAGACATGGATGACACACACTCACTAACAAACATTGTGTTGGCCTGAGCACAAATAGCAGCTGCCAAAGCAGCCCAAGCCAAGCATGAAAATATGCGGAACTTTCTCTGTCCTCTGGCTGGTTTCTAAATTTAGACCATCCATGTTGCGTTTTTCTGTCTTGCAATGCTGGCCGTAATATATTGTATTTCTTCCAACATGTCTCTGTTTGACCATTTCAATCAACCTCGTATCCCTAATTAACGTGTTTTTTTTAAAATACTTTTGAAAAGCTTAGAAACGGCTTTGAGAGAGAAACCATTTTATTTGTCAGCCTTTCTGCCACAGCGGGCTACATATCTGCTAGCAGGCTGCAAAAATGTGATGACACATTTGCTCAGCCGTGTCACAGCAGATTATGGAGGAAGAGACGAGGTACTTCGTATTCCCGAGGATTAGAGCTGAGGTGGAGAGGAAATGACTTTACCCTTGAGATTTGTTTCCAATGTGCACTGCAGACATTTAAATATGGGTTTTAGTGCATGATAAATGGGTGGATTCTGTTTTTTGTTTTACTCAGTTTGAAAGTGAAAAGGCTGAGGAGGAGTCTGACAGTCTTTCAGTGTTTAAGGAGCTTTCCGTGGTGCTGTCGGGCTCTGCGGCATGCAGGCCAGCTGCAGGATGTTCATCATATCAGCCACGAGTTGCATCCCTTCACAGCCTGCTGAACATGCTCATCTGGCATCAAGCTGCTTAATGAGCTGGAAACTTAAAATCTGTACACGTATGCATTTGTCAAAAATATAAACAAGCAGATCGGAAAATCATTTTGGCAATCATTTAAATGTTTTACATTTAAGATAGGGCCCATGCTGTATGGCAATACATGTATTTCCCCCGGTCTGTTTATAAAAACACATCAAATTAAAATATTGGAATATGCATTGAAATATTTTCTGTGTATTCCATCAAATTGAAAAATGTAATTTCATAATTCCTTACAAATATTAATCTACCCTTGAAATGTAAGGCCTTTTGTCTTAACATTACAGAAAATACATGCACCGTGCTACTGCGGCTCTGTGTGACGCATATGTTGCAGTTCGCATGCATCAGTTCACAATGTAAGATTTATTTCACATGTTTAAATACATTTGAGCAGGTCAGACGGAACAGTCTACATTTTTTCTAACGAAAAAAAGTCTATAAAGCGAATTTATATAGACGGCGTTTTATTTGCTGCATTGAACACATCGAACATTTTGAAAATACAACTGTAGCTCTGTATGTAATAATGTAAACAAATGAAGACTATGTTTTCATTCAATAAATGTTAGAGAGTTATTGAGCATGACTATTTGGTTTGAAAACATCGCATTTTGACCTGTTGACATGCAATCAGGTGAAATGTTTGATCTCTTCATTCATGGAAAATGTCACGAGCGATTCTGTAATAATGTCTTTAAATGCCCGGGTTATCCTCGCGAGTCGTGATTACTGGTGAATTAAAGACTCTCTCTTTCTCTCTCTCTTTCTCCCTCTCTACTCCCTCTCTTTCTCCCTCTCTCTCTCTCTCTCTCCCTCCCTCTCTCCCTCTCCCTCTTTCTCTCCCGTGACAGTTCTGTTGTGCGCGAGCTGTTTCTCTGCCACTCTATGCAGACACGTGCACGCTCCTCTCTTTTCGGTGATGCAGTCAGAGATTCCAGCGCTCGTGCTCAACAGGACGCCCAACTGAAAAAAAAGTGCTAATTTATATATATTTTTTAAGACAAATTAGGACCAATTTCCCTCCTGTCTCTTTTTTGGGCCGTTTCTTCGTTGATGCAGATACCAAGGAGCATTATTTGAGGGAGTACTATGGATGAGCAAGCGAAGAAAAGCGGCTGAGGATTGTTAACGGTTTGGATGAAACGGAGGGTAAGCTTACTTTGCGACGACATCGAAGAGGCAACAGGCATGACTTTACTGTAGCAGCTCAAACAAGAGAAACATCATCCTGCATGCATCTGCCTCTCTGCTCTTTACTCGGTAGTATCATTTTCAATTGAAGAACGTAATTTATTGGGGTAACGATGGCTCACCTAATACGACACAAGCTCTCCAACAAGCTGACCAATGCGGCCCACACGGTGTCCAACAAATCCCAGGCCAAGGTCAGCGGGGTGTTCGCCCGGCTGGGCTTCCAGGCCGCCACGGACGAGGAGGGTGTGGGGTTCGCCGAGTGCGACGACTTGGATTATGACTACAGGCAAGGGATGCAAATGGATGTCCTCCAGGGAGAAGATGAGGGGGGACAGGTGGAGGGCGAGGGGGAGCTGGATGGAGACAGCCACTACCAGAGAGACGGCACCGGCCACGCGCCAGGCCTGAAGACAGGAGGCTCTCTGGACGAGGAGAAGCCAAAGATCACGACGTGGGAAGCAGGCTGGAACGTCACCAACGCCATCCAGGTAAACTGCTCTCATCCTGCATGTCTGCATGCTGAGACCCCGTCTGGTGCATGGCTGAGGCCTACAGCAGGACCAAAAGTCACCTTGAAGATTTTCATTTTTTAAGATTTATTTCTAGAATTCCAGATTTTATTTAGAGTGGGATGCGCATGATTTCCCATTATTAAAGATAAGAAAAAAAGCAATATGTTCTAACAAATATGCTGAGCTTTAAATGTCTTTAAACATGTTTAAATGTTATGATGATTTAATGCAGGCTTCAATTCAACGTTTATTTCATGGTTTGAGAGTGGATTCGTTGCAGCCAATGGGTGTTAGGATTTATTTATTCAAATCTTTTTATCAGTGGGGCTGCAGGCCGGGCCTGCTGCCTTTGATAGTCCCGAGGCTGAATGGCCCTGCACGTGCTTATCAGCGTCTCCATCAAATTGAAAATGTAATCAATTCAATTTAACATTTCGTTTTTACATTGTCTTTTTAATTGTGTTAATTCGATCCAGCACAGCCTGCTCAAACGAAAGGGCCGATTTTCAAGGGCATGGCTTGTGGTAAAATTTATTTTGTGAGGAAAACATAGAAAATTAATATAATTAAGACTTTTCTGCGATGCATTGTAAAAAATATATATCCTTTTTTTTATTACTGTTATTATGTAAGAGGTGAGCTGTTTGAGCCCTTGCATGCCGGGTGCTCGGCCTGTCACTGTGATGCGGGCCTCGTCCATTAACTGCGCCTCTCTGTCCGCAGGGCATGTTCGTCCTCGGCCTACCGTACGCCATCCTCCACGGTGGCTACCTCGGTCTCTTCCTCATTATCTTCGCCGCTGTGGTGTGCTGCTACACCGGGAAAATCCTAATCGCGTGTCTGTATGAGGAGGACGAGGACGGAAGGCAAGTGCGCGTGAGGGACTCCTACGTTGACATCGCCAATGCCTGCTGCGCGCCCCGCTTCCCCGCGCTGGGCGGGCACGTCGTGAACGTGGCTCAGATCATCGAGCTGGTCATGACGTGCATCCTGTATGTGGTGGTCAGCGGAAACCTGATGGTCAACAGCTTCCCGGGGTTCCCCGTCTCCCAGAAAGCCTGGTCCGTGGTGGCCACGGTCGCGCTCCTGCCGTGCGCGTTCCTGAAGAACCTGAAGGCCGTGTCCAAGTTCAGCTTGCTCTGCACTCTCGCGCACTTCGTCATTAACGTCCTCGTGATCGCCTACTGCCTCTCCAGGGCACGCGACTGGGCCTGGGATAAGGTCAAGTTTTACATCGACGTTAAGAAGTTCCCCATCTCCATCGGCATCATCGTGTTCAGCTACACCTCCCAGATCTTCCTCCCCTCCCTGGAGGGAAACATGTCGAAACCCAGCGAGTTCCACTGCATGATGGACTGGACTCACATCTCCGCCTGCGTCCTGAAGGGCCTCTTCGCCCTGGTGGCGTACTTGACTTGGGCAGACGCCACCAAAGAGGTCATCACAGATAACCTGCCTTCCACCATCCGGGCTGTGGTGAACATCTTCCTCGTGTCCAAGGCGCTGTTGTCCTACCCGCTGCCCTTCTTTGCTGCAGTGGAGGTCCTGGAGAAATCCTTTTTTCAGGATGGCGGGAGAGCCATGTTCCCTGACTGCTACGGCCCTACTGGGCAGTTGAAATCCTGGGGTCTGGGCCTGCGAATTGGCCTGGTGGTGTTCACCCTGCTTATGGCCGTCTTTGTCCCCCATTTTGCCCTCCTTATGGGTTTAACTGGGAGCCTCACCGGGGCTGGCCTGTGCTTCCTCCTGCCAAGCCTCTTCCACCTGAAGCTCCAGTGGAGGAAGCTCCTGTGGCACCACGTCTTCTTCGACGTTGCCATTTTTGTTATTGGGGGCATATGCGCCATATCTGGCTTCATTCACTCGGTTGAAGGGCTCATAGAGGCGTACACGTACGATCTCCACGACTGAGAGCTTCAGAGATGACCTTTATTGAATGGTGATGTCTTGAAATGCCGCGCTCCGGCAGGTTGTCATGACGCAGACCTTATTACAACATCACGTTAGCCACTTGACAAAGAAGCTCGTGAGAAGGATTATTTGTGTGAAATGTACATCTTTTTATTTTGCCTTCGTGAAAATGTGCAATAATGAACTCTACAATCATAGTGTAAAGTAGTCTACTCATTCCAGAAAACATGTTTTATTCACTGGACAGACAAGCTCCGCATAAAAAAGGGGGAGGGGGGTGGGGGGTGGCGAATACGCGGGGATTTACATGTCCAGGTATCAGTCTTCATGCAAAGTTGTCAAAGATCCAGTAAAAATATCCGCCATGGGTCTTACTGTGAGTGTGTACGTGTTTATATTTGGGAATGAAATAAGTGAAAACAATGGAGTGAATATGTTATGAGCTGCTTGAAATTTCATTAATCCCATCAGAGAAAATATGACAACAAGGCACCAATCAGGTGCTGGGTGGATCATAATAATAATAAACAATGAAAACCGTATGTGTAGTTGTTTAAACAGAATTTATTTATTTCAGTTCGTTTTTGTGTTTTATTTTCCATCTTTTGCCTATAGTAGTCTTCGTTGGCTTGTTTGTTTTCTTGGTGTTTCAAGTGTCATTCTGGATGAAGTGATTTCAAAGTGCAAGCTGGTGCAAAGTGGGTCCTAATTGTGTTATATGAAGAAAAAAAAGTCTGATAATATTCTCTTCCTATTGAACTTGTTAAATGTGATTTAATGGAACTAATCATGGTGTGTGAGACCAAGAGTATTTGTTGAATTAAGAGATAAATAAATCAAATATTTTATGGCTGGTGATTCTAATGTTTCCTTGAAATGTAGCCAGGGATGGCCGAGGAGCCTTTTTATTTTTAATTGTTATGTTCTCGAGAACAGCTACATTTGCCCAATTAGACAGTTTCCCAAAGTTAGCATACCTACAAAACATCATGTTAGTCGTTTATTTAAAAAAACAAAAACGATTAAAAGCTAGTAAAATAATGAAACTTAATACAAAATATATTCTATTTAAATAAGGAAAAACTAGTAACACTAGTTTGATTGACATTCCCTTTAATGCACAAAATAAATAAAAAACAGAGATATTGCCTTTGCACATGAACCCTTCACATAGCACACTGCATGAAAACCTGGCACTGCTCTCTTTAGGTTTGTATTCATTGTCCCAGGGGGATATTTGTTTCCACGGCTAACAACAGACATACACCTAGCAAAACAGCACACCAGGGATTACAGAACATACAGACATCAACATATTTACAATTGATATCTGTTGATATATCATTGGAAATATTGAAGTCAGATGTGAATTCAGGATGTAAAGTCAGCATAGAGAAGATCATTTTCACATCCTTTTTCATGATACTCCACCATGACGATACTTTATTTTAAGAATGAGGATGTCGCTCAAATACCCTGTTTCTGATCACAAAAACATTTACATCAATCTGCTTTTTAAAAAATGGTTACAATATTCTGCTTTTTTCAACATAAAAGCGAATGATGTTGAGAATACAGTATGCTTTTACACACTCAGAGCAGATTCAAAAATAGTTTCCTTTTCTTCACACAGAGACACACCCACACGCACATAAAAAATAAACAATCAAGCAGTTTGCCAGACATGGGTGCAGTAAGTTTCACTTCTCGTGAACCAGGAAGCTGCAGTAGTTGAATCAACGCAGTGAAGCAGTGAAGACGCCTTTCAACTTGGTTAACCATTCTGCAGTAATTCAGGTATGCTACAAAATATAACTTTAACAGCTTTACTGAGGATACTAGTTTGACTTTATTCACATTGCACAGTAACATGTAAAAGTCTCAGTATAGTTATTTGACTGTGAGGAGTTTTGTGATTACATTCATACTAAGTTGTATTTGGTCAATTGCTCGCAGCTCAGTGGACCCAGGAAGATGCTTCCAGCAGTGATTGTGGTGCTGATGCTCATTTCTTTTACCTGTGGTGAAAACCCTGCCATACAAGTCATCCTGACTAGAAAAGGACTTCAGTACGGTAAGGCAAAATGAGGTGCCATTCACTCAGATGTTCAGTTTATTTAAACCTAAAATAACAGCTTCATGGGGCGTTAGATTGCTTTGACTCTCTTTTTATAAAGAACCCAATTAAATCGTTAGGAGAAATGTTTCATTCACAGTTTTTAAAACTGTACAAATGTGCTGTTTGTCTCAGGAAAGCATTTAGGTGCAGGATGGGTTGAGGAGAAGCTGGAGCATATCACTCTCCCTGACTTCAGTGGTGAAGTCTTTGGCATACACTACATTCTAACAGGGTATGATGACATTCCTGAAGACCTCTACATACTTGATACATTTTATTTGACATCTTTACACCCCTAAGACCTGTGTCCTGCCTCTCCCCTCCCCATGTGCAACACAGCATCACCATAACGAAGTGTGACTTTCCAGAGCCGATTGTTGAGTTCAATCCGGACAACACAGGATTCACCACATCCATCTCAGGCCTCAGTGTGGCACTGGCCGGCGGCTGGATGACACACTTTGGTTTAATGTGAGTTTCTGTTGCCAGTATACTGGAAGAAGTACCTGGATCTTTCAATTGAGTACAAATATCAGTACTACACTGCAGAACATTAAAGTCCTGCATTCAAAATCTTAAGTTAGAGTGTACAAAAATGTTAGCAAAGTATATCTAATCTAAAATACCTAAATCAAAAGTATACTCATTATGCAAAATGTTCCATTTCAGAATAATGCAATTTAATATTGCAGCTGGTAAAGTTGAAGCTCTTTTAAGTGACTTCAAACACTGCCACACCTTAATCCATTGTATAATCCTGTAAATCATGTTGAAACATGTTTAAATAGAAAGTATATTTTCCTCAAATACGTGGTGGAATAGAAGTTTAAGGTAGATTAAAATGGAAATTTGTTTGTTGAAAAATGTTTCTTAATTACAGTACTTTATCAAATGTATTTAATTGCTTTCCAACACTAGTGATGTTCGGCAGCTGCTCAGAAACCTGATATAATCTGATCATCCTCTTTACAACTATAGAAAATTGATGACAAACAAAGATAACAATTTAAATATATAAATAAAACACTTCTCTTCGCAAAATACATTTACATGAAGGTGAAATGAGGAAGTGAGATTAAGAGGAAAATTTCCCTTTGTCTGTTCCGTTTATCTGGGGTCAATTAGAAAAGGAAGTGTCTCCTTAAAAGCACCATGTCAATGTCTCACGCGGAGCTATGGTCATTTTAAGATAAGAAATCACGTGTTCACTTGTGCTACATCGACATTACTTTCAAAAATCCAGTACTATCTTGATTCAAGACCAGTTGGACCAGTTAGGCTAATGTTAGCAGTGTTGATTCTTAAAATTGGCACACAAGTTTGTTGTGCCCATTCACCCAACCAAAAAAAAAAAAAAATCCAGTAAATTCTGGGACTTCCTGTTCCTTAACACAGTACCATGATGGCCCTGAGAGTTCATACTATAATGTCATCCACAGAGTTGAATGTTTACTGCAAGTAACAGCCTACTGGGGATATTATAAGGCCTTTTTTATCATGCAGTTTAATCAAAGCACTATCATTGTTTTAGATAGTGGCCAAGGTCTAAGGACTGCCTAGCTGAGCCCATTCTTAAATTGGCATTTTAATCTAACTTCATACTTTTTCCTAACTCCATTTTTACTATTTAGTTGTGGTTAAATTGATAGCAAAAAAATGTAATCAACATGGCCAGGCGAGAAACAAATATTTTAATTTCTTAATTAGGTTAGATTTGCAATCAATACATGTATAATACGTTAGAATATTGACACGTCACTGAGGTCAGTCTGCTGATTTTATGTGTATAGAGTAGACAATACATATTCGCACACGTTTCAAATGGTTTCTGTGACTTTGGGGGAAATCATTCTTACTAACACCAACTTCAACTTACTTTTTTTTTTTGTATTGTGTTTTTTAAGCCATGACGGAGGATCCTTCAACATGGCTATCTTTGGTTTGGATGTGACCTCAGTGGTGGAGCTGGGGAAAGATCCTGGCGGGCATCTGTCCGTCACCAGCGTCAGCTGTGATGCTCAGGTTGGAGACGTGGACATTCGATTTGAAGGTGGAGCGAGGTACAGTAGAACAGAGGTAGAGAGAGAGAAAAGGGTGATACATGATGTGGAGATGTAAGTTCTACATTTGTTTTTGTCAATAGTTGGATCTTCCAGCCTTTTGTGGAGCATTTCAAGGGGCGGATGAGGGGTGAAATAAGGAGCAAAGTAAGAGTTTGTCTTTATCACATTGAACAGTGGTGGATTTGTCAATGCTGTTTCGTCATCAGATAATTCTCACTGTAAAGATGTTGGTGGTGAGCATGGCAGGACATTGGCCTTGTTTTTTCCCTTTATAGATCTGCCCTAATGTGGAGGAATCCATTGGGAGCTTGGAGTACCACCTGCAGGCCATGGAAGGTATTACAGCCGGTTATCTCATAATAAACAGGTTTTAATAGTTTTTTTATATTTCCTTTGGGATCAACACCAAAAATGTAAAAATATATATTTTATATGTCTTTCTGCTCTGGAAAAGGTACAATGATTGTGCATTGTGTTGGTACAGAACTACTTTATATCTGAACTTACTCTTTAACCAAACCATGCATACATTTGGATAATTATATGTGAAATTATTTAATGTAATCCTTAAATCAGTTTGGAACCCTGGGGGGGCTGCCTCAGACTTTTAAAAACTCTGCCCCAATATATAGATGTACTCTTTTTTTGTTACACATTGATACTAGGTGCTTAGTGCAAATAAGACCTTTATTTTAAAGCAATTGTCAAATAAGAGTCAGGGATTTAAATGTATAATGAGATTATTCAGTAACAAATGATTTCTACTCTCATCAGTGTCCATTCAAGTGGATGAAAACTTAGTACTCGACATCCCTCTGACTGGCGTACCTGTCATTCATGCATCAAGTATGATTCTGGGTCTTAAAGTAAGCAACAAATCATTTATATTGGGTGCCAAAACGTATGAATATAAATAACAAAATGGTAAACAGTAGCGGTAATGGGTCATTTTCCAACGTTCTATTTAAAGGGAGAGTTCTACGATATGAAAACTCATGAAAGGCCTCCCTTTGAGGCCCAGAATTTCACTGTGCCTGAGCAGCCCGACTACATGCTGTCGATGGGCCTGTCTGAATTCACCGTGAACTCCGCCTCATACACACTCTACTCTGGGGGACGGATTCAGGTTCTCATCAATGACAGCATGGTAAGTGCACCTCAAATGTAAGAAGCATGTACCCATTATTGACATAAAACATGACTGTTAACAAATGTTGTTTCATCATCTCAGATACCTCCTTACATCCATGTACGCCTCAACACCAGCTCAATGGGGCCTTACGTTCCTCAGGTAAGTGTAACTGAATCAGCGTTAAAAGAACACTCAAGAGTTTCATTAATGCGGTCCATGAGCAGGACTGCATGATGATGTCATTGTGGTTCAATCATTATTATTGAAGGAATAACAATCCTTTAGTCGTTTAGTGAAACCACAGCTTGAACACTTAGTTCCGTCTTCAAAATAATCTGGTTTCAAAGTAGTAAATAAGTAAAATAACAAATACAGGGCACATTGTATCTGAAGTTGTATTCATTTATATTTGAAAGGCTTGTGCAGTGTATTATATTTACATGGTGACATTAAATTGAGTGACTTAGTATGTGAACAACTCTGTTAAAAGAACATCTATATATTCAAA